ACACACATTTCTCTTTTGTTTCTTGTATGCCCTTTTCTGTGAAATTTAATTGTTGAGGAAATCAGGATGTTTTTATATAAATCCTAATTTTGTTGAGGGTAGGCCACAGTATGGCACTGTTGTAGCTTCTAAATTTTTGCATAGCCACAGTTGAATCTAAAGAAGCTGATGGATGGGTGGTTTAGGATTCTTTTTTTTACCTTTCCCTGTTTTTCTGATCTCAACTGGCTTTCACAATGCTGGTGACTTACCATCTGAGATATCCTTGCTCTTCCTCCTCTGTATTCTCCATCTTTTCTTTCCTATTTTTCTCTATCATTTTTCTTTTTCAGTTTTGGAAAGGAACTCAGGTTAGTTAGTTCTGAGGGTTAATGAGTGCCTTTAGAACTCAGTATGTACCCATTGCAGAAATCTTGTCTTGCAATGCAGAAAGTTCCTCTGTTTCATCTACTGTTCTCATATTGGGTTTTTGAGGTTTCCAGTGATTCCCACCAGTCACTCTGTCATTCTGGGTCGGTTGCCCTGTTGTTTCTGTCTGCTTTCTCTGGCTTATGCCATTCTGGTCTTATAGCTATGGGTGATTTGTCTCCATCCCCACTTATATTTTGAGGTTGTGAGATATTTTATTATAGTAGTTGGTTATATACTGTAATTTTGTTCTCTACTGGGTCCATTTTTTTAAATTAGAGGAATTAACAGAAGTTTAAAAGTCATGTCATTGCTATTTTTTCATTATTCTTCCATATTTTATTTTTGGGTTAAAAATGTTAAATGTTACTAAAATGTTTGACAGGTTATTTTTCTTCTTTTGAAATCTTTATTGTATTGTGTTGCTCTTACTGTAACGGGAGGTTAAAAGCAGAGACAAAGAATTTTGGAGTCTTTCTGCTGTGATTTAAGGAAATATGTAGATTTCAAAGACATTACATGCCTTGTCATGAGTCTGAAAGTAAAGGCACATGGATTCTCAGGAGATGATGCGAATTCCTGTACAAGAGTGTGGCCTAGTAAATCACATAAGTCTTTGAAGACTGGTGAGTGTTTCTCTTCTGATTGTGGGTATAATGTGACAATTCTTGACTTGAAATCCGTAGAGTCTCAAACCATGATATTAAAAGTATGCTAGAACTATCTTCTTGATATTCATCTGCATAAAAAAATGTAGATTATTTTCTTAGTGTGAGATTAGCATAATGAAAAAATAATTATCCTTGTTTTTTTAATATGAGAATTTCCCATACCATAGTTTCACTAAAAAGAAAACTTTCCTGTGCAGTACTTTTTAGGACCTGTCACTCCTATTATAGAATAATGGAAACAAATTGTTCATTTATGCATTTATTCAAATAACCATGGTCATACAATATACCAGATATGCCATAATAAATTCCAAGTGTGCAAAAAATTTCTCTTAAAAAATAGCTGAAATTAAGTCTCAAATGATGAGACTATGCTTCCTGAGAACTTAATTTAGCCAATTTCATACACCCACACATTTCTGTTACCCACAAATCTCTTCTGTCCCCAAATCATTTCTGGTTCAACTGAAATCATTTTAGAACTATTGGCCTCCCCATCTTTCTGAGATAGCCTTGGGGTTTGGTGGAGGGGGCATGTAGGGTGAGTGGGGAGTCAGGTAGCAAGGGGAAGTGTCTGGTTGTCAGATGCAAATGTCCCTTGACTTTGATCTCAGAAATTGGTGACTTTTTCTTTGCTTTGGATCATTAATCTGTACATTTAAGCCTGTCCTTCCTCCTGGCCTGTAGGCTCTTCAGCTCTCTACGGTCCTCTCAAAGCTTCTTCAAAAGGTTTAAAGGACCATAAATACAGCACTTAAAAAGAACAAGTTTGGAGGCATTCCTTTAGTTCTTCTTGCCCATTCTATGCTAGTATGTTGCTTTTTGTCTTATTGACAGGAAACCCCCTTTTTAAATCTTGAGACTATAGCACAGATACTCTCTGCCTTTAAATCTTCAAAATATACCCAGGAGTTCCATTATTTCTATCTTTCCATCTTTTCTCAAACCCATCCCAGGAATTGTGTGTGTGGTGGGTGGAACAAGGCCTTCCTTGGGGGTTTACATTTACCTCTAGATTGAGAATACTCATTGCCCCATATTTGTGACTGTATTATTATTTATAATTAACCACACAACCTCACTTTCTCCCAGGCAAGATTATAATCCATGCTCATTGCCGTGTTGTTTGCCTGTGAGCAGACTTCACTGACTTGAGGTTTAGCCATACAAAAGACTGTGGCCAGTGGAAGTTGAATGGATGTATCATGACACATTAGAGAAGTAGCTTTAAGGTTCTTCACTGATGTCTCCAGCTCTTTCGATCTTCTCATCGAATATGAGAGTTGTCAAAAATCTCAAATACCTTTTCAGCCAGGGTCCTGGAATGAGAAGACCCATGGAGCAGACCTCAGCTTACCTGTAGCATGCAATACAGTCAAAAAATAAATTTCCATGGCCCCATGCTATTGAAATTTATTTTTGTTTTTCAGCAAATGTGATGGATATATTGTTTGTGGCCTATTTCTTTTTCTTTCAATTGTTCAGGAGCTGGAACTTTTGAACTCCAGCTACTCCACATCAAAAGCTCTGATTTAAGACACTATTATCACTGCCATGAATTTAAAATGTGTATTAAATAAACATCTGGGAGTTGTCCCCTTCTTTCTTGAGGCAGGTGAGGAAATACCTTAGCTGTATGAGAAGAATTTAAAACCAGGGCAGAGAACATGGGATTGTATGTGTATAAGCAGGGCTAGCGGGTAGGGTCGTTCAGCTAATTTCTCATATTTTTATCCTGATTTATAAAACTGCATAAAACCATGAAATAGAAAATGTGAAAATTCCAAGACATGAAGTCTTCCCGTGCTCAGGGAGTTTCTAGGACAGATTAAGTAGCTCTTTAAGTAATTATGTAAGACAACAAACTGCATGTTATCAAGGTGTACAGAGAAGCTCCTGAAAGAAGATGCTTTGAAGGATAGGCCTGACATGGACACACATAGCGTAGCATTTTATACTCAAGAAGCATACTGAGTAAAATCAGAGGTGATAAGCTAAGTGGCATTGGTAAAAAGGAAGAGACAGTAGGAGGCTGAATTAGAAACAAACAAAAAAAGATAAGCCAGGGCTCAATCATAATCTGACTGATCTACAAAAGGTTAAAAGGCCACATAAGGAAAAGGGTTGGACTTTATCCTTAGCTGGCACAAGCCTTGCTGGGCCTGGGGAGGAGTGTCAAGAAGCCAATTTGCCCTTCCCATGAACCCAGACAGGTGGGCTGGGAGACAAGGGTGCCGCCCACCAAGCAACTGGCTGACTTCTAGGACAGACTGAGTTGGTAGTAACTGAGGTACCAAAACAACTTAATGCTTGTATTGTTTGACTGACTTTGCAGGCCTAAGGCTGGTAGACTGAGCATCTGAGAGGTTAACAATAAGCAATATAGCAAACATAGGGGATTTTGTCTGTTTTGTTTTTGAAATCCAATACTGTTCTATCATTTTGTTTTATCCAATGTTCTGTTTTGATTGGTTTTATTCTGTCCTATTTTGTTCGATCTTATGATGTCTGGGCAGTAATTTTGAAGACAGCAAGAGGCATGATAGCCATTGTTGATTTCCTATTATCCTGTTTTGAAATCCTGTATTATATCCATTTTGTTTTGAATAGCTTTATTCTGTTCTGACTAATGGTATGGACAGTTATTTTGAAGAAAACAAGAGACATTATGGTGGACATTGTTGATTTTCTATGATCTTTGTTTTCAAGTCCTGTATTGCTTTCATTGTTCTGTGCTGATTGGCTTTATTCTGTTTTGTTTTGATTCTCTTTAAAATAAAAAGGAAAGAAAAAGGGCTGGACAGTGGGTTTTGGCCACAATTATTACTTTAAATGCAATGTCGCCATTTAAAATTGTCACAAACTATATGTACATAGTGTTGGAAAACAATTTAGATGATTGGGTTATTTTCACCATGGGGAAAAAGAAGGCTGGTGTGCATAGCTGTGTGTACGTTCACTACACAATCATCATACTTGGGAAGTCACCGCTGATTTGTTGTTGTTGATATTAGGTGATGGGTAATTCAGAAAAGAAACTGTCTTAATTTCCAGCAGTTTACCCGCTATCTTACTACATTTACATTTCTTTGACGTTTTAATAACTGAAAAACAACCGCACTACTACATGGATGTACTTGATGATACAGAACTGTACTCTTAACTTGGTTAAAATGGTAAATTTATGCAATATTTAGTTTATGACAGAGAAAAATAAGTTGCAAATCTTCCTAAGTTGAAAGTAGTACAAATGAGTAGAATTTTAGGGCTGGAACCCCAAGCTCATCTCTCAGTGTCTACCCTGACGTTGTCCAGTTGGCTCTAGCAGGATGTACTTTCCTCCCACGAGCTCCCTTCCAGGTCTTCCGGTCTTGCAGCGAGGGTCCCAAGGGCCGGGGCAGCGTGTCCCTCCTCTCCTGCTCTCTGCGGTGCGCACTTGCTTCTCCTTCCAACCTGGGCGGAAGTGGGGAGAGGTGCGGCCAGAAGGTTCTGTCGCAGAGTCTTGTACGTTCTAGCAGGTCCACCCTGTCGCTTTAGCTAGCAACAAGGAACTCGGCTAAAGAAAAAAAAAAGTTTGGTTCTCAGAACGGGAGGCGAAAGTTGCAGCCTCCTCCCAGGCTCCCGCTGCGGATCAAGTTTCCAGGGTGCGCGACGAGCTGCGCGCGGACGGCGGAGGGGCGGGCGGCCCGGGCTCGCGCCTTTGTCCTCCCTCCGGCTCACTCGCGCCCGGCGCCGGCGGCCTCCGCACCTGCCCGGCGGGACGCAGCAATCCGGGCCGTCGGCGCGCCGGCCCCTCCGCGCGGCACATGCGCAGTGGCGACGCCGCCCGGCGCCTCCAGTCTCCTCCTCCGCCGCCTCCCGGTTCCGCAGTCACTTCCTGCAGCTGTTTCCCTGTGGGTCGGCTTGGACTGACTTTTGACAGTCAGCCTTCGGCTGCTCGGAGGCTCGGGGGCGGCGGCGGGCGGAGAAAGTGGCCGGAGAAAAGAGGCGGGCGGAGCTGGCCGGGCCGGCGGGCAGGCGGCGGCGAGAGGCTGCGGGCGGGCGCGTCCCGGGCGGTTCCGGTGAGTGCGGCTGCGGCTGCGGCTGCGGCGACGGCGACGGAGCCGGGCGCGGGGCGCTGGCGGTCCTCCGGCTGGCGCCCTCCCACCTGTCCCGCACGTGACGGGGCTCGCGCCGCGCGTGTTTATCTGTTCGTTTGGCTCGTTTCGCGTGCGCCCCGCGGCTCAGGTGGCCGGCGCACTGGCCCGCCGGCGGGAGGCGGGGATTCCATCTTCCCTGCTGGCTGGCATCCCTGCGGGGTCGAGGTGCGTGCGGCGCGCGCGCGTGGGCTCGTGTGTGTGCACGCACATCCCGAGGCTCCCAGGTATCTGTGGGCGATGCTGAAGTGGCTGCAGCTTGATTTGCATATGTAAATGGTCCCGGGGATCCGCAACCCTCACAGCTGAGACTGGAAAAGAGTCTCCGGTTCACCCAGGCCTCTTCTCCGCGCTCCTGTGTTCCCTGGAGCCTCCCTTATGCCCTATACCTTGCTTCCGCTGGGTATTTTTATGGTTTCCTCCCTCGCATTCCTTCTTTGCTGCGTTCCGATGACCTCTGAGTAATGTTCCTCGTCTTTCCCTCCTTTCCACTATTCCCAGTGACATCCTCACCTAGTTACTGAGCTGCAGGAGACCTGTTTCTGTATTCCCTTTGCTCTGTAGATTCCTCCAAATGAGAAAGCAATTGTCTTCAGTGTGGTCTACCAAGACTAGGCCTCAGTCCAGTCATGAAAATTAAGTATTCTGTTATAATTCATTTTCTTTAAACGGGGTACCTCCTGTGGCTTGGATTTTCTTCAAGGCCCATTCAGTCCCTTTTCCAACCAGAACATTCAACACCATAAATCCTGCAAGCATCAGATGGAGGAGTTTTTAAGATCTGAGGAACACTTATTTGTGTCAGCCTGCAAATTAGTCTTTTAAACCAATGCTGCTGTTGAATTGGTCTGAGTCGCATGTGGGTTTGGTGTCTGCATCCCATCATTGTATATTCACCGAGGGCTTGGTTTTATTTATTTTAGGATTATATTTTCTTTTGCTAATTTTTGTTTGCAAGTGTAATTATACATGTTGTAATTGACATATATAGATCTGAGGGGGAATGAATGTCAAGTAGGTTGTTACATATGGTACACAAAATAATTTTGGAATATCTATTCTTTAAACATTATAAAGATGAAATACAATACTAGGTAAGTCTGTACTGACGTGTTTTTCTTTAATTCCATTCCTCTGAAGGGAGGCCTTTTTTGCTTCAGTGCTAAAAGGCCTTTATTTTGATGGAAACTTGTAGGAAACACTGGGGGAGGCAGATGCTCGAATTTCCTCAAGTGGCAATAAGCATTCATAAAACAAGCCCAGACATGTTTTGGCAATTGTTTGCATTTGATTTTCTGTTTATAGTGCTTATTTCTTTATCCAGATGTTTTGACACCCTCCTCTACCTTTTCTGTTATGAATCAGCACCATATTTGTTGCAGTTTAGTATTAGAAGGACTGTACTATTGTATGGGTATCGTCTAACATTATCAGTTGTAATTGGGTAGTTAAAGTTTTACAAAGCAAGTCTTTGTCTCTTTGGTTTCCTGTTTTAAACTGTCCATATCCATCTTTGCTTTCTGGATATCTTCCCCTGATTTAATTTGAGAGACATAATGTCATTATAGAGAACTTAGCTTTTTAAATATTATAAATCCACATTGCCTTTTCTTTATGTTCCTAAAATCAACGGGCAGCAAACTTCTGCTTGAGTCAATAATTTTTCTAAATCTGATTAATGAAAATTATTTAAAAATTCTATGGCTAATTTTTATGCATTTTTAGTCCTTAACTACACTGTTTCTTAACTATGCTAATTTCCTCTCCTGCTCCCAGACCATGAAGTTAGTATAAAAGTTGTTAACTTGCTTACATTTTCTTGCTACTATGTACTTAAAAAAGGAGGTAAAATAATCTATTAACTTTTCAAAACTTGATTCACTTTAGTAAACCTAGTGTCATAATGTATACATTTTTATTGCAGATGGAAAATCACAGCAGCCTAAAATAGCCATATTCTGTTGACCAAGAAAAGAGTTTAATAATATTGAGAGAGGGGAGGGAATTGTAGATTTTGTAATAAGGATCCTAATTTGGGTTAATTAGAACCCTGGGAACTCAGGGTGTACTGTAGTTCATTTTGAGAAACTCAGAATTGGAAATGTCATCTGGAAGGCAAGAGAAATTATAAAGATTGATGATGAGGTGGAACATACTAGAATAAGAAACTATCAGTTACTTAGTAGGAAACTGGAAAGAAATAGCTGAAGACTGAAGAACTGGAAATATAATAGGGCTGGGGGAGTGTAATTCATTACTGGTCCATGTCTACCAACCAGAAATACCTTATTTTGTGCAGGTAGTTTGCCTTTTGAAAGAGAGAAAAGATTTTGATTTTACAAAGGATCCAAGAATACATTCTAAGGCCATATGAGATCGGATCATAAACTCAGAGGCCTCCAGGGAGCAATCTGAGTGAGCAGTAAGGGGCCAGGGAAAGGCAGGCCTGTGGAGAGGGCAGCACCCCATGCTAACCTGCTAGTTGTTCCCAATGGAGGCCAGTGGGAGGACTCTAGCCAGATCCTCCTTTTATCAGGAGATGCTATGAGTGACAATCTCTTGATTTTTGAACATTGAAAAGGAATTCAATTTTAAAAATGAAAGCATAACAAAACACTATTTCAAACAGTTCTTGTGCAGCTGTGTGTGGTCTACAGGATGTCTATTTTAACCTCTGTTGTAAGAAATCACTGGCTCACTTAAATATTGCTAATTGATCAAAAGGACCCTTTTTAAATTTATTTCTGTCACATTTTACTTCTAGGTTATCCCAAGAGTTCCTTGGTATTTTAGCTAGTTGTAGAAGTACACGGATTCTTTTTTTTTTTTTTTCACTCTGACATCTTATGGATGGAAAAAAGGTATTTGCTAGAATTCTTAGTAGGGTTTTTTTTGACTATGCATAATTATTATCAAAAGTGTTTAAGTATGCATGAGGGAAGGGGTCTGGACTAGGTGACCTTTAATGTCCATTTTAGCCACATGACTTTTAGATTTAATTAGCTAAGCATGTAATGCTATTAATGTTCATAGGCCAGAGGGATTGTAGTTGGAGCTATGCCAAGTGACATAAAGTCAAATCTGTAAAGCCATTCTCAGTGGAAGAACATTGTATAAATTAACAGGCAGGGGAAAAAGTCCCAAAGATAGGTTAGAGAAATAGAGGGAAGAGTCATATGGTAGTGTCATTTATTTACATGTCATGTTGCTGAGGTCTCATTTCTAAGTTGTTTTTTCCCTCCTGTGGATTCAGATTTGAAGACTCGACCTCTCATTGCTCACTGGATTATGCACAAGGCGCTGCTACCCAATGATCCTCTTGCAACACGCTGGGCTTCCTCCACCTAAGCAGCCTTCATACTCTCCTCCTATGTCAGTGGCCACCCGGTCTACAGGAACCTTGCAGCTTCCACAGCAGAAGCCTTTTGGCCAGGAGGCTTCCTTGCCTCTGGCAGGGGAAGAAGAGTTACCTAAGGCAGGGGAGCAAGACTCTGCCCTGGAGGAGCTATGTAAGCCTCTATACTGCAAACTCTGTAATGTCACCTTGAACTCCGCGCAGCAAGCCCAGGCTCATTATCAGGTAAGGGAAGGAAAGAAGATCAGGTATACTGTATTTGGTGGGGTGAACATTCCATGCTATGCCAGTTAGAAGTTGTTTTGCCCTATATGACCACTTGTGCTTGGAAAATAAGGATACATTAGAGAACAACTAAGTTTGTTTGACTAAAAGCATAGTGTTCGTCCTTTTAAGTGTCATGTTTCATGCAGTGATTCTTAACTTCTTACATTAAGCTGTGTGGCATTTGATACTTACCAGTCTTTGTGAGCAATTGTAAACCTTTATGCTGGCTTTTGAACCTGTCTTAAGGGGAACAGGCATTTATAACATGGTGTACCAGACACAGTTTAGCGGAAAGCTATTTAGAAGCCGATGCAGTCTGCATCAGTTCATAGTAATCTCTGCATTTCAATCTTGTGCTTTCCATTTTGACTTCTAATTCTCCCTGCATGGCTGAGGAAAACACATGTGTTTTTCCAAGTGAAAATATGGTGACATCCAATTATTGAACCATATCCTTTCTTGATAATAAGCAGACTTTGATTTCTTTTCACTCATTAATATGAAGTTAGATTTTTAAAATTTAAAGCTTTTGTTTTGTTTTGTTACCAGGGATAATTTTGGTACCAGGGATCGAACTCACGACCATGCGCTTGCAAGGCAGGCGCTTAACGCCGCTGAGCTAAATCTCTAGCCCCAAATTTAAAGCTTTTAACTGCATGTAGAACAGCTAGCAGAAAGGACTACTTTAAAGGGCATCTTTAGGTTAAAAACATGAGATATTAAATTTTGACTAGAGAGTGTGTTTTTTTCTAGATTGTTATTTGTATAAATTTATATAATTTCCTTCAAAAAAAAAAAAAAAAGAGAGAGGGGCTGGGGATTTAGCTCAATGGCTTAAGTGCCTGCCTGGCAAGTGCAGGGTCATGAGTTCGATCCCCAGTACTCCCCCCACCAAAAGAGAGAGAGAGAGACAGACAGACAGACAGACAGGTATAAACGGTGACCCAGCCCTACTGAGTGAAGGCATAGCTTCTGGGCCCTCACTAATTTGACTATGTATTTATTACCTCCATGAATGGACTGTGTGGGAGAAAGCTGTCTTAGCTAGAAAGCTATTTCTTCTTGTGTCCTAAGCTGCTTTGAACTTATTTTTGTTTAGTCTGTTTGTAACTCTTTTCTGTTTCATTTTATTTTGATCCCGAAAACTGATAGTTGTGTCATTTTTGTGATTATGTATCAGAAGTTTGCTTTGTTTTTTATGGAGCTGGGAACTGTACCCAGGGCCTTGAGCATGCTAGGCGGATGGTTTAGCTTTGAGCTACATTCTCAGCTCCTTAGGATGTATTTTGTTGATGAATTGTTTCTCTGGGATTTAGGGGAAGATTTGATAGTTGTTTCCCTGGAGATGCCATTGTTTGGGTTTGTTTTGACCTCAGGTACAGAGAGTTGTGTTAATTCTATCTCTCCAATCTTGGCATGTGTCATTATTAGTTCTTAACCGCCTCCTTTTGTTTATTTTTGTTGTCATTGTATTGGAGATTGAATTCAGGGCCTTTGCACTGAGTGACATCCTTGCCCTTTAAATTATTTTATTTGAGGCTGGGATGGAACTGGTGATCCTCTTTCCCAGCTTCCCAGAGTGCTGGCATTATAGGTTTTACTGTTACACCAGTCTCCTCCTGTTTTGGTTTACATTTGCCTCTCATCCCTTCTTGTACCTCTCCCCGCTATAATAGGTCATTTGATACAGGACCTTCTTTGCCTCTCTTTACTATTCAAGTGGCATGTTAGGGTAATTAATGTCAAACCTAGGTTCTGTTAGCTTCTTCATTTATTCCTGTGGCATGTTCAGTTTAATAGCTTAAGACTTACTTTGAAAAACCAAACCTAAATTCTAAAGTTTTAGTGTTGGACCTTAATAAATGGCTAACTGGAGTAAACCTGCTTTAGCTATACATTCATTCATATGTACCTATGCATTTACCTTGTAAGCAGAGTTTTAACTTTTACTCTTGAGCAGTGTATAATTGTAATATATGCGTGCATGGATTATATATCATTTATTGCTTTAGTAATTTAATGTATGTAATATCATTTATTTCTTTAGTAATTTAATATATGTAGTTTCATATATCTTATTAATTTTTTATCAGTACATATTTGCAGAACATAATACTCTTTAATCATAGCGTGTACCAAATGTACTTCTTTGACTTACAGACAGTGATGGATCCTTTGACTAATGTCTAGAGAATTCATATTGATATAAGATCATTGAGTTATACAGTTGACATAAGAAACAGAATCAGTTTTTTCTTTTATTGTATATTTTTGTATCTACAGTTTTTAGTTGACAAGATTTGTAATTGTTTTATTTCATTTCCCTCAGTGAGACAGTGAATAAATAAGTAAGAAAGAAAACACATGGGAAGAGAAGCAAAATTTAGACAAATTCCTAACAATTAAAAAATTTTAATGGAACAGTTAGACAGTTAGAAGAAAAGATGGCCTATCATAGGGGCAGTGTAAGCAGCTGAATACCAGGATAAAAATAGAGGAAAGATGAGGAGGTAAATGGGTACAGAGAGAGTGGAACCTGATTAAAAAATAAAAATGCGATGGTTTGAGAGCAATAGAACATGAGTCTAAGAACTTGGAAACTAAGATTTGAATGAGACCAATATTCCTGGTAATCTTAAAGGTGTGTTGTTTCCACAGACAGCCAAGACAGTATAGTTTATTTATTAAAGTACAAGGCAATTTCATTGGCATAGCATAGAAGAAAGTTAATTTTAGAAATGAAGTCTGAATTTTAACAAGATAGACATGGTCATGATGAGAGAGTTGTAGATTGGTGAGTATGTCAGACTAATAATAGTTGAAACGTGACCATAACGGAGAGGTGGGTGGACCAGCACAGGAAAGGATAGAGATGTTAGCATGAGAGAGACGAGTCAAAGAGCACAGAAATGGGTGGTGATGAAAGAAAGGCTGGTAAGCACAGGGTATGACCCGAGCATAGGACTTACGAGCACCAGGAATAGACAGCATGGCAGTGTGAAAACAAGTGGTAGGCCTCAGATTATGGCTCAGAGATAGAATATTTCCCTAGAATGTACAAGGCTCTGAGTTTGATCCCCAGTACCAAAAAAACAAGTGGTTTAAGGTGAAATAAAATAATGTCTGGGAAGGTTTTATTTCAAGGCTAACACCCTGCTTTGTAGTTTTTAATACAGGGTGATAACATTATTTTAGTAGATGTAAGATAAAAGTGGCCACTGGTGACCTGTTTATAAGCTGAAAACACCTTTATGCAAAGTGGTGAATCACTGTGATTATATTACCCAAAACTTTTTAGTCAGTTCATGCTATTGTTGAAATCACAGTTTTAAGTTGCCAGAGTGTTGGAAGCAGCCATCCTTACCCTAGAGTCCAGCTATATCATTTCTCATAATCTAGGACACAGTGGAAACTGTTTAGTAAATTCTTCCCTTTGAGCTTACTACCATTTTCCGCTGGTAACCTCATGGTCCCAAACTAGGGCCACCTTATCAGAGATCTGAGTGTTTCTGTGGTCATCACAGATACAGTTTTATTAACAGGGCGTTTTAACCTACTCACTCAACTTCAAAACACCCTCAGCTGTTGTTTTATTTTTAATAAAGTTACGTAATTTTGCAGTCTCAAAATTATGACTTTGGTTATAACTTAATTTAAAGTTAGATTTTTGGAGGTGAAACATGTCTGCATTTTATTAAAATCTGTCTGCATATTTCAGGTTACTTAGGGCAATCCTGGCATGGAGTAATTATAACACTGTTTCATCAGCATAAACGCCCGGAGGAAGAACTCTGTAAGACGAAAGATTATTAACAGAAATGAAGAAAAGAAAAGGCATGCACAGATAAAGTTTGCTAAGGCATTTATACTTGACATATGAAAAATTTCATATTTATGCAAAACGAATTAGTTACTCAAAGTACATTTCTAAAATTTGTCATAAACAAAGATATCTATTTGTCCTATTTAGTAGCCAAATAACATCTCTCTTTTGGTTTAATTATATTAGTTAGAAAGAAAAGACATAGGTTGAAAAAACAGTTCTATAATTATGATACTGAACGTGGTGATCTTACTTCATAATGAAGATAATTTTTTTTTGTATCAGAACAGAAAGCACTGATTTTGACACATGGATTTTTAGCATGATCTCCCAGATTTGGAGGGCATGATCAGTAACAATAATCTCATCTTATTTTTATGTTTTCAAAATTCTCTTATCCATATGAAATTGTGGTAGACAATTTGTAGTCAAAATACATTGCAGATTTTGTGTTACTTGTGTGCTTCATAATTGGTAAAGATGTTTTGAAATTGAGTCTGCTACTTTAGGCAAAGTAGTACAGTGTCTAAATTCAGCCTCTGTAAAGGTCATTGTACTTCCCTCATGGGATTGTGAGAACTGTGTATTTTATGTTAATAAATACTTACTGATTGAAAAAGATTTCTGCTTAGGTTTCTTGTAGCTTCAGAAGGGTGTAAAGTGAGATATAATTTTCTTATTGTTGTTACTGCCTTGATGCCAACGTGCTGTAGGACCTTGTATAAATGAGTAAAATTTTGTCCTTGTTGGTCACTCTCCAAAAATGCTCTTCTGGATTCAAATACTAGGTTTTCTTAAAGGAATCTTACAAGGAGTAATTCAACCAACAGATACCATCAACGTTTTTCGTTTGTTTTGGAGACAGGGTCTTACCTTGAACTCATTATGTAGCGCAGGTGGGCCTCAAACTTGTGGCAGCCTCCTGCCTTCATGTCTCCAGTGCTGGACTGCAGGTGTGTACCACCACGCCTGGCCAGATGACATAATGTAAAATGGTTCTCACATGTAGAAGTGCTTTCAACCATGGTGCTAGGATTGGCAGCTTAGTTCAGTATCTAAGTCCATGCTTATTTGCTTGTTTTTTGAGTCTGAATGACCAGGATGGGCTCTTCCAGCCCATCCTTTGGTCACATCA